ATATATATATATATATATATATATATATATATATATATAATAAACACGTACCTTGGTAAGTTTTCAAAAACTGAAATCAAAACGTGTGACTGACAGCCACATCAAGAAAAAGCAGCCTCCAACTCTTCCTCTTAACCATGGCCAAATAATACCTATAGTCTATCTTCTAACAGCCCAGAATACATTTGCCTTTTGAAGCATACAATAAGCAGCACAGACAGCGTTAATTCTGAAATTCTGTACCCATAATACTCACCATAATCTTCTTGTACAAAGCCATGACATTATCATCATCAAATGGTAGAAACCCACACATAAGCACATATAAGAGGATGCCCATGCTCCAAACATCTGCCTAAGAGGAAGAATAAAACACCATTAAAACACATTTCAAAAGTGAGATTTGTCCAGAGACACTGACTCAGTGGAAGACCTCCTGACTTTCAATTCAGTGTACTTCTCCAGCCACTAACACCACATAAAAAATAATTCCAGCTGGGTGTTGTGGCACACGCCTTTAATCCCAGCACTCAGGAAGCAGAGGAGGGCGAATCTGTAACTTCCAGGACATCCAGGACTACACAGAGAAACTCTGTCTCCAAAGAAGAAAACGAAAAAGAAAAAAAAAAAAAGGAAAGAAAGAAAATAAATCCCAAATGGCTGAATATTAAGCTATGATGAGAAAACAAAGCCTTGCTTCTCTAAGACAAGTTTAAGGCTACCAGAGAAGAAGGTTACGTATGAGGATTATGGAAATTATATAAACATTCAGGGAGACATCAAAAACAAGTCTGAAAACTTCCTGTTAATCTGAAAATGCAATTAAGCTTCGCTGTAAAAATCCTTTGTATGTAGAAAAATCTTAATAAAATTCAATGGTTGACTTTTCATATATGTAGGCTAGAAATTAGCACAACAGCATTACAAATCCTAAACTTCAGGAAGAAGTACAACCGAGATTTCCTTGAGTCTCAGGAATCAGGAGCAGTAAGTATTTATTCAAGCAGTACTTGATTTTCATCAATAATGACGACAAATTATTAGTGATGGCTCCTGCAGTTGCTAAACTTGGTTGTCAACTTGACTCCATGTAGAATCAACTAAAACCACAGTGCTGATTTGCTTTATTATATATTTCAGGTAGGAAGACCACCCTAAGTCTGGCTGTACCCTCCAGCGGCAGCCTGGATAAAGGACGTGAAAGAATGAAGTTTTTGCTGCTCACTCTCACTGGCAAACCCATCCTGCTACTGCAGCTGGTATTATATCCATTGCTGTCAAGATTCCAACGTAAGCTGAAAACCAATAGCTCTCCCGGAATCCTTTCAGACTCCTGCAGCAGACTGGGACATCCAGCCTCATGGACTGAACAAGTAGTAGATTCCTGGCCATTATCAGATTATCTGAACTACTATCTATAAATCAGTTTAATAAACACACACACACACACACACACACACATATATATATATATATATATATATATATATATATATACACATATACATACATACATACAGTTCACTTGCTGGGGAAACAGCCCCGTAATAGCCAGTAAGAGAATGACTAACTGTAAGTCACAGCCTCTACCTTCACTTGTAAGAGATAAGAGCTGCATTTTTTTTTTCATTCTGGAAGTTTTTATTTAAAAAAACATAACAGAGAACTGCCTATCTTAAAAATAGTCTTGGAGATCAGCTGAGATAGCATATGTGAAGCTCTTTGAAGAGCTCCTGCTGTACTTACTTAATAAATACTTACTAAATCTAGGCTACTTACTAAATGCTTACTAAATCTAGGTTACTGTTAATTTCTAGTTTGTTTGTTTTTTTAATTTTATTTTTTTCTTATCAGTTACATTTTATTAACTCTGTATCCCAGCTGTATCCCGATCCCTCATTCCCTCCCAATCCCACCCTCCCTGCACTTTTTTTTTTTTTTTAAACAGGATTTTTCTGTGTAGCCTTGGCTGTTCTGGACTCACTTTGTAGACCAGGCTGATCTCAAACTCAGAGACCCACCTGCTTCTGCCTCCCTGAGTGCTGGGATTAAAGGCATGCAACACCACGAACAGCTCAGAAGCTGCATCTTTTGACAGAGAAAAATAAGGCAGGAAACTGTTATGACAACATAGGTGGCCTCTCATATCTAGGTGGTACATATGCATTAGATAGCCCAGGTGATCTACTCCTGTCTACCGAATTACATCAAAGCCAGGCCAGGACTCTGACAATGCCTCAAGTGGACAGTTTGCCTTTCAAGCCAACAGGTAATTTGTGTTCCAAGTTGTAGGATAGCAAAAGTTAAGCATTCATTTAAAGTGGAGGCAATAAGTGAACACAGCCTTGCCAAATACCATGAAAGGTCAAAACAGATTATGTCTGAAATTAAACTAAAAGATGAAAAAAAAAAGTTTAGGAATGTTTCCATAAAAATCTAGCACACCCTTCTGGAAAGAAACTAGACTTTCTGGTTAACTCATCAAACATCTCACTTTACTGTTTCAAATTAGATAAGAGAACACACAAATTAACTAACACTGTACACCAAAATAATATAAATAAACATATCAATTGACAAGTAAGATAAAAATAACTTGGGGAAGGAAAATTGCAGAAACATTTCCCATGAGAAATTTGTAAAAACCTCAAAGATCCCACCATGGAACATGTCCTAAGCAGAATAAACACCAGAACTGTCTCAACTACTTACTTTAAAACTTAAGCAACCAGACTAAAATCTCCAAGGGTACATACCTGAGTTCTTTCAAGCATGCCAGAGGATTTTTTGGTACAGTTCTTAAGACATTACAAGGACAATCAAACCCACATGGACAAGGGTACTAATTAAAATCACATAAGAGGCTGGGCAAGGTGGCGTCCACCTGTAATTCTAGCACTTGGGGAGGAAGAGGCAGGTGGACTGCTTTAAGTTCAAGGCCAGCCTGGTCTACAAAGTGAGTCCAGGACAGCCAAGGCTACACAGAGAAACCCTGTCTCAAAACACCACAAAGGAAAAAAATTTTTTTTTCCTTTGGCTCATTTAAAATAAATACCAAAACAAAAACAGGGCTGGCAAAATGACTCAACAGGTAAAGGCACTTGAAAGGCACTTGCTACCAAGCCTGACAACCCAAGTTCAATCGCTGGAACTCAAATGATGAGAAGAAAGAACTAACTCCCAAAAGTTATTCTCTGACCTCCATATGTACAGTGTAGCATGCACTACCCTAATATAGACACAAAATGAAGATATAATTTTTTTTTAAAGAGACAATATATAAAAAATAAAATACAAAAGCTTAGTTATAAAGGGATAGAATGTCCAGGTCACATTCACATGATTAAAAAAAGATGTGCAGGATGGAGAGATGGCTCAGAGAGGTTAAGAGCACTGGCTGCTCTTCCAGGTCCTAAATTCAATTCTCAGCAACCACATGATGGCTCACACCCCTCTATAATGAGATCTGGTGCCCTCTTCTGGCATGCAGGCACACATGCAGAAAGAATACTATATACATAATAAATAAATAAATCATTTTTAAAAATCTGTGCATAAATATGTATGTTTGGGGAAAGAATAAAGAAAATAGGGACAAATATAAGTCACAGATTTAAATAAAAACATACCAAATTTTTAATTCTATTTTTGTATAATACTTTAAATTTTAGATTAAAATGAAGTCACTAAAAATATACATATTCACATCTACTCCTGTTCCAAATTAAGTAAGGTAGTATTTTCCAAAGTTTCTCCCACATAGCACTTCTCTCCAGAGATGTTCCATGTGAAAAGTGGATTCTGCAGGTCAGGAAGACCTGTGTTATTTCCCTCCCAAAGCTCACCCTCTACCAGAGTGTATGAAAGACAGAAGACATTCGGCCCAGCAGTGCCTGAGCTTCTGACAACTCATGTTATGTCTTTATGAGACTTGAACTGAAGAGAATGAGATAGCTGACTGACTGAAGAAGCAAGTGCAAAGGAGGCAAAGCCAGGCCTTCTAAGCATGGGCGCTCAACAGGCCACAGGCCTTGGGGGTCAGCTATGCATGAACGCTAAGTTTTTCCTCTGTGTTCATTAATCAATATCTTTGAAAACTGAGCGTACATCTGTAGCCTTGGGCCCTACCTAGCTGACCTAACCAGTGCAAACTACAGCCACTTCATTCAAAAAGCAACCACAATGAGGATGACAGAAAGTAACCAGTAACAATTACCTCTGATCCAAGATAGGATTTGCCTTGTATTAGTTCAGGAGCTGCATAAGCAAGACTTCCACAGCACGTCTGTAGATGATAGTCCTTGTTGCCCTACCATAATGTAAAAATGAAACACTTATTAGTATAGCCCCTAAGAATAGGAAACCTCAAATTAGACATGCTGCACATTTGTAATCCCAGCACTTGGACAACAGAAGTAAGAAGGTCAGGAGTTCAAGGTCAGACTCAAAGGTCAAGGTACACAGAAAACTTGAAACCAGTCTGAGCTATATGAGACCCTGTCTCAAAAAAGAAAAGTAGCACTGGAGAGATGGTTCAGAGGTTAAGAACACTAGCTGTTCTTCTAAAGGTCCTGAGTTCAATTCCCAGCAACCACACAGTAACTCATAACCATCTATAGTAAGATCTGGTGCCCTCTTCTGGTGTGCAGGCATAATGCTGTATAAATAATAAATAAATCTTAAAAAAAAAGAAAAATAAACATTAAAAACATTAACTTTAATAGACTTCCCCCTTTGAACTCAAAGAAAGGGTAGGTGAAAAATTATCCCAAATAAGAGATTTCTGCAAATGTTCTTTGTATTTATGCAAATGTGCTCATGTCAATTGTGATTCTCTAGATTTCTAATACCTCTCGACCTCACAAGAACAAGATCTTTTTCCCCTCAGCTCAGTCAAATCAAACCCATACTTCCCTAGATACTCATCTGCACAGTAATCAGCCTCACATCCACCCAAGCACCCATGATTTCCCACCCCCAAGTAGTCAAGGAATTCAAGTCCCTATCTTGAACATCAATTCTTCCTAGTAAGAAAAGCTTTCTTCTTGTCCACAGGAAGAAGCAACTGGTATGTGGGAGAATGCAGGTTAATCTATCGTCTAGACTGGGATAAGATCCACCACCTTAACTGGTGGCCTGTCAACCCCCTCTGTCCCCCAAACAGACACAGGCCTTCTAAAAGTGAAGCTCCTGCTGCACTCCTGTGCTGAGCCCTACAGAAGGCCAAGGACCTAGAAACCTAAAGATTTTGTTTACAAATGAGCCAGGCGGTGTGACAGCGAGAACCCCACAGAGCTGAGGCTATCTTTGGCCTGCATGAGTTAAATCTCTTGGTGTCTGTATGAGTTAAATCTATGGAAGCCAAAAAAAAAAAAAAAGAAGAAGAAGAAGAAGAAGAAGAAGAAGAAGAAGAAGAAGAAGAAGCTAATGGAGTCTTCCATACACATTCTCACCACTTCCTCTGGAGAATACAACTTATCTGTCAAAGGATGATCTTTATATGATTTTATATGTCTGTTAAAAAATGTTTAAACCTGCCTTCTGAATCATCTGCTTCCCAGACACAAACCTCCACTGGTAACCTCAGAACAGACATCAGCAGGAAAAGAATCAGAAAGAACCAAACATTCAAAACCGAAGAGGCAAAATCTGCTTCCCTTTGCACCTTGCTAGTGTTGAGGGGCAGGAAATAATCATGAGACTCCAAAGGGCTGAGACGAGTCTGCAATTTCTACATTCTTAATGAGTGTAGACAGCTCATTTTAGCAGCAGTGCCATCATTAGAGAACCCAGAAAGAAGCCGCCAACAAGCAGCCACACAGGAGACCTGCTGCAGACAGCGGGGCTGAGCGGTTCAAAGTCACCTCAAAGAGAAGTTATGCTGGAGAACACCAGTGTTACTTCCTACAGAAGGCCAGTTAGGGAAATCCTGAGCACCATAAATTGAGAAGCCCATGGCCACTGTGTCTCCTCTTCTTTTCACAGGGAAAGGGGATCATCTTGGGGGATCAACTAGCTCTTAGTTATACAACCATCTGGATAAAAGAAGAGACACATACCAAACTCTCGACTTCTACTCAAATGAACAAAGGCATCATCTGGTGGCAATCTCTTCAAACTGCAAACACGTGTTATAATGTTATATATATAATGTTACAATGACCTCAAGTTACCTGGCACTGCAGTCTCAGAGCTTCCCTGGGGGACAATCCTAGACCTACCGTACTGGCTCACCATCTTGGCTCCATCACAGATTAATCTAGCAAACTTACAAAACTATTAATGCTAAGGATAAATTTTAACATTCTTCAAAATAGATGTAGCCAAACAAGATAAAGTAAAAGTCAGCGCGAAGTAACACACCAACAAAGTATACTATTAGACATAAAGGGTTTTTGTTGTTGTTTGTTTATCAAGACAGGTTTCTCTGTGTAACAGAGCCCTGGCTATCCTAGACTCCCTTTGTAGACCAGGCTGGCCTTGACCTCACAGAGATCTGCCTGCCTCTACCTCCCCAGTGCTGGGATTAATGGCGTGCATCAACATGTGCAGCTAACATAAACATATTTTTATTTCTACACTTACCTTGGGTTTTGCACAGAGACCAAAGTCAATCAGTTTTAGTTTATGATATCCATCAAATAATAAATTTTCCTGAGAAAACAAAGACATATTAGTAACTGTGTTCTGATTTCCTTAAATCATATCCCACCTCTACCCATTTCTAAAAATGATTGAGTTGTTTTTATTTGAGGCTGAGATCCAACATAAGTTAAAACATCAATAAAACCTAATGAAAAGACAAGGAAAAAAAAAAAAAAAAAACAGAGCTAGAGGTAGGTGCACACTTTTAATCCCAGTACTCAAAAGGCAGAAGCAAGTAGATCTGTTTGAGGCCAGGCTGGTCCATATAGTGAGGTCCAGGGCAGCTAGAACTATCTCGTGAGACCCTGTCTCCTCAGCCCCCCTGACCAAAAAAAAAAAAAAACGACAAGAAAAATAAGAGAAAAAAGTCTGGGGACTGGAGATGTAGCTCAGAGAAAAAGTACTGTCCCAGCATGCCTGAGGCCCTAGGTTTATTCCCCAGAACCACAAAAAGAAAAAGAGAGAGGTTTGGAGGGAGATGGCTCAGTGGATAGTGTTTACTATGCAACATGAAGAAGCCAAGTTTAGCCCCAACACCACTCTAAAAAGCCCACATGACAACACACTACTCTAACAGTATAGCTATTCTGTGAGCTCCAGGCCAGTCTGGGCTATAAAAGTAGACATTGTCTCAGACAAAACAGAACACTGAATGGAAAATACTAAATGACTAAATGGCCATTTTTCACAGGGGTAAAATCTTAACGAAGGGCATCTATAATGTCACATACACCTGATGGGCCCTGAGGATGCAAAAAAGAAAAGTAAATTGACAGACTCTGACTGCAACAGAAACGTAAGGAGCAGAACTGGAGGGTTTCTAAACAGAGCAATGGGCACCCGGAAAGAAGAGGCACACGGTGCTGAACTCTCAGGTAAGCAGCTAAATGTGACAGGGCCACTTACTGGTTTGAGGTCCCGGTGGGCATAGCCCTGGCTGTGGACATACGCAACAGCAGACAGTATCTGACGGAACACGACCCGGGTCTCCTCTTCTGACAGGCGGTCCTGGGAGATTATGTAGTCAAACAGCTCTCCTCCTGGACAGTACTTCAACAGCAAGAGTCACACACTTACTGCTGACAGAAATCACTTCCCAGGAATGGCAAGTAAAAACCACACAAAACTCAACACTAGTTTGACTTTAAAGGCAAGGGAACTGAGGGAACTACCCTCTCGACTTCCAACAACTCCGTAATTACTCCAGAAAGGAGAACAGTAATTCTTCCCTTGAACAGTTTTATTACCAATAAACAGACGTTAAACCAACTACCACTGTAGTTTTAAAAAGCTCATTCAGGGCTTTATATTCTTACAACAAAGTACTAAAACTCATTCTCAAGTTAATAAGACTCACATTTAATAAAGTAATCTAAAATTAAAAATGAAAAGTAGCCGTAGTTATTGTTTCTCTACTAATTATTGCTGGTCATTGTCCAAAGACCAGCGGTTTTCAATCTCCCAACAAAGAGCCCATTAGGGGCTGAGGAGATGGTAAAGCGTTTGCTGAACAAGCATTAAAACCCGAGTTCAGATCCCTGAAGCACCCACATAAAAGCCTGCAGTTGGCAACACCAGTCTGTAACCCCAGCAGAGGTAGAGAGAAGCAGTTCCTGGTGCTCCCTGGTCAGCCAGCCTACAAAAAACAGTGAGCTCCGGGTTCAGTGAGAGATCCCACCTTAATAAGTAAGGCAGAGAACAATACAGAAGACACTCTGAGTTTCCACATGCACGTGTGCAAGCATGCGTACCCACAAACACACAGATGCCTTACACACATGCATACACCACACATATCTAGAAAGAAAAAGTAACTAAGAGAAAGAAAGAGCTCACAAAGCCCCCTCTTCAGGGTTTATACAGTCAATAGTTTACAATGGAGAAAGAGATATTTTCTTCAGTAATATAGCCTCTGGTAAAGCACCCATGCTCTTGTAAGCAACCCTCAAGAAAAAAAGATATGAAAATAGACGTGGGGCTAGCTGATAAGAGGAAGGGACCAGGAGTAATAGCAAGAAGGAAACAGAGAATTAATATAGTCAAAAAACATTATATAGGAGTCTAGAGACATGGTTAAGAGAGGTTAAGAGCACTGGCTGCTCTTGCAGAGGACCCAAGCTCATTTCTCAGCCCCTCACAGCTCACAACCGTCTATTACTCCAGTCCCAGGAGATCCAACAGCCTCTTGTGGCCTCCACAAGGACCAGGCACACAAACTGTGCACAGACAGACATGCAGCCAAAATGCTCATGAACATAAAAATAAATACACTTTATATACATAAATATGTATGTATTAAATGTCACAATGTAATACATTACATATAATTAATGTATACTAATAAAAAGCACAAAAAGGGCCAGCAAGATGACTTTGATCCCAGGAACCCACATAAAGGTGGAAGAAAAGAACCAGAAACATTTAGCTTTATTAGCTTGACATAACCTAGAATAACCGGGAGGAGAGTCAGAGATTGTCTACCGAGGCTGGCCTGGGGTATGTCCATGGGAGACCATTGCTATTAAGTTCACTGACGTGGGAAGACACAGCCCACTGTGGTGGCACTGCTCCCTAGAGAGGGGTCTGGAACTGTGTATGGCTGGAGAGATCCAGCTCAGCACAAGCAGACCAGCATATTTATTTCTCTTAACAAGTTTGTGCTGCACTGACTTGCTGTGGACCTGAAACTGAAACTGTGAGCTGGCCCTTCCTCCCCTAAATTAATTTCTATAAGGATTACTTTATCGTGGCAACAGAAATAACACTAGAACAAACATTTATTCTGATTTTTCAGGTAAGAAGACATGATTCTCAATTACTAAAAAAGCAAGCAAATACTTTTGGTTGTCTGAAACCCACCACTAACCTCAAGAACCATGAATATTTTGTTTTTTGTCTCAAGCACATGGTAGAGCTGACATATATGCTGATGTCTCAGATTCTTCAGGGCATCTATCTCAGTTTTGACTCGGGGCAAATCATTCTGTTTGACAAAAACATCAGTTCAAATAAGCAACAAATTCCCTGATAAGTGTTCCAAGCATCAATAAACAGTTTTAATAGTAGGCAGGAAAAGCTATCAATAACTCTGAAAAAAGCTGGTCAAAAACTGGAAATCATTACAAAATTAGTGTTCTGAGGATTATAATAAAAGCAAGCTCAATATGAGCATGACAGTTAATCTGTCAGTTTGAGTGAGTGGAAATTAGCAAAGCACACACTAGGAGTGTGTGAGGACCCAGCGGGGACCACTGAGTAAGACAGGGTGTGGGTGCAAAAGAGGGTTCCCGCTAGCACAGCTGTGCTCACTGTTTCCTGGCTGCTGCTGGCACATGCTCAAACCATCCTGAAAGTCAACCTTACCTCAGCCCAAAATAATGGGAACTTGAACCCAAACCAGGAGACAAAACTCAATCTTTCCTCCTTTTAAATTGTTTCCCCTGGCCAGGTGCAGTGACACACACCTGTAATCCCAGGACTCAGCAAGGCAGAGGCAGGTGGAGCTCTGTGAGTTCCAGGCCAGCCTGGTCTACAAAGAAAGTCCAAGACAGTGAAGGCTACACAGAGAAACCCTATCAGAAAGAAAAAAGAAAGAAAAAAAGAAAAATTGTTTCCCTCAAGTTTTGTCACAGTGACAAAAAGCTAACTGATACAGTAGTCAACAGTACAATGCCCAGAAATTCCAAGAGAATTAAGACTAATGTACAAGTTGGCCATTCCAAACAAAGGATGTAACAGAAACACTCATTAGCAGGCCTGGATACAATCCTAGCAGTAGTCAGAAGACTCCTGAAAGTCTGAGGCCAACCAGAGTGAGTCATAGAGCCACTGCAGTGGTGCCCGCCTTTAATCCCAGCACTCAGAGAGGCAGAGAGGCGAATCTCTGTGAGGACGGCATGCTCTACAAAGCAAATATAGGACGCCAAGGCCACATAGAGAAACCCTTTCTTTGGGCTGCCATCAGCGTTCTACCATGGCTACCTGAGAGTCTTCATTTATCCTGGGGAAGGGAGAGCTCCCTTCCTCCCTAAAGACTCACTGCTGGACACCCAAACTCCACTGCCAATCTAGCAGCTGCCTACCTGCCACTGCGGGCCTCTGGATCACCTGAGGCTGGTCAGCCAGCCACAGGCTGACAACAGTAGAGACAGCTTCCTCCACTCACTGGGCATGCAGCAGCCAGCTGTAGACCTGCTTCCCACCAGACGTGTCTCCAGCCCGATGGGCCTAGGCCTCGACAGGCCTGTGTCTTGCAGCCGACTAGGTATGAACTTTCACCCGCATCTCTAGCACAGCAGCTTACCAAGAGCTATAACACTTTGGTATCGCCATAGGCTTTGGAACACCTAAGTTTCCACTGCCACTGGTGATCTCATTTTAAAAGAGCTAAACCATAACACTCTGTAGAAAACTTTTCCACACACCAGTCTAGTGCACAGGCCTCTCCCTAAAGCACTCTAGCCACCCCTGAGAGAAACAGAAAGGGTCACTCCATTCTCCATCCAGAATCCAAGTTCCTGGCCCCCACTGAACAGAGAATGACAGACACATATATTTCTTAGTAGGGTATGATGACACATACCTGTAATTCTAACATTCATAAGGCTAAAGCAGACAGATCACAAGGTGAAGGCCAACTTGGACACAATGTGAATTCAAGACCAGCTATATACAATAAAGCTACATATAATCAAACCTTGACTCAAAATTATCTTTTTTAATGTCATAAAAGATAAATATGACCAATGTACTTTAACTCCCACATATAAAGAAAGTATTGGTGGTCAATGTATTATAACTCCCATATATAAAAGTATCAATGGAACTCATTATTTTGTACAATTAAGGAAAAAATAATTTCAAACTTACCCCTAGCGCATTTTTATCCATGATCTTTATAGCTACCATTTCTCCTGTAAGGATATGACAGGCAAGCTTGACCTTTGCAAAGCCACCTAAGTACAGAAAAATGCATATGGAGATAAATGAAGGCCCAAGCACAGGTTTTTTAAAAGGCTATCTATCAAGCCACATTTTCCTGGACGTTTTTCATTCTTCGGTCATTTCCAATATGTTAGCCATGACTCCAGATTCTTTTCAGTCCATGTTTTTAGGTCAGTGTTTCCAACCTATGGATCATAACCCCTTTGGGGGATTGAACAATCCTTTCAGAGGGGTCACCTAAGACCATCATAAAACACGAATATTTATATTATAATTCATAACAGTAGCAGAATTAAAGTTATGAAGTAGGAATGATAATTTTATGGCTGAGGTACACATCAACGTGAGGAATTGTTTTAAAGGGTTGCAGCATTAGGAAGGCTGAAAACCACTGTTCTAAATGGAGATTTTTATTTCCTGACATGAACAGCAAATAACTAATTTTATAATAAAAAAAAATAAAAATGTGTTCTATGAGCCGGGCATGGTGGTGCACACTCTTAATCCCAGCACTTATGGAGACAGAAGCAGGCAGATCCCTGTGAGTTCGAAGCCAGCCTGGTCTACAAAAGCGAGTCCAGGACAGCCAAAGCTACACAGAGAAACCCTGTCTCAGAAAAACAAAGAGATAGATAGATAGATAGATAGATAGATAGATAGATAGATAGATAGATAGATAAATTCTATGAGAGTTGAAGTGATGGCTTCAAGTTAGTGTGCTTGCCATGCTTATAAACTACCGGAGTTCAATTCTCAGCACCTACATCAAACAGTTCACAACTGTCTGTTACTCCAGCTCCAGTGGACCCAACACCCTCTCCTGGGCTCCTGAGCCACCCACATACATATGGATTACTCACAGACCAAACACATACATATAAATAAAAGTACATCGATTTTAACCATATTCTACTGCAATTAAATTTGCTTTATGAACATGCTAGAACACAACATAAAGTCACTGAGGACAAATTATACAAAACTTCAGTGAGCTTCAAAACCACAAAAGTAGGGGCTAGAGAGATAGCTCAGTGGTTAAGGGCACTGGCAGCTCTTCCAGACGACCAAGGTTCAAATCCCAGCAGCCACAGGCAGCTCACAACTGGCTGTAACTCCAGATCTGACACTCTCAGAGACGTACATGCAGGCAAAACACCAAAGCACATAAAATAAAGGTAAATATTTTTTTTTTTTAACTACAAAGGTTTCTGTATCTTGGCTGTGGATCTGGTGGTGGAAGTGGTGGATATGGTAGCAGAGGTTTTTTTCTAAAAGACAGCAAAAAAGGTTACAGTTCTTAGCAGGAAAGCGAGCAAGGAGTTGTCAGAAAAACTGCAGGTTACTTTGAGTCAGTCGTCCCAAATGCATTAGAGGAACTGTAAAAATCTGCCACAGGAGGAACGATGATCCACAGTCAGAAAAGTTACTGCAACTTAAACAGGAAACCCTTCTTGTTCAGGCCTGTCATAGCCAAGTTCGCAAAAAGTGCAGCTATTGATTAATGGAATGTAGTGTCAATTAATGTACATTCCTGAGGTCTTTTATCTGTTGTAGCTTCGTCTTTTTCTTTTTCTTTTCATCACATCGGGTATATTGCCCTGTAAATTGTGGTTGTGGTATCAGGAATAAAAAATTAAGGAATTTTTAACTTAAAAAAAAAAAACTATAAAGGTAAGCAACTATGTTTTAAAAATGAGTCAAAGGCTGATTAAATATCTCTAGCTATCTGAAAGATGTTCAAATTAATACATCCAAAAAGAAGCTTCTGATAGTCTCTTCCGATGTCTTCCCCACTGTTTTCTCAAGTGGCTGGGCACAAAACCATGAAACTTCCAACTTCATTTCTCTAGCATTCCATGTACAACTCATCAGCAAATCCCAGCTGCTTACCCTGGGGAAAAAAACCAATGACTTCCTTGGGGGAAAGGAAACAGGAAACAGGTGCTGACTAGAAATGGCCCCTGTCTAACCTAGATCCCCTCCCTGTACAGATGTAGCCTTGGCAGCTCAATCTCTAAGTGGGTTCCCTCAGGAGAACAGGGCCTATCTCTGACATGAACTCAGTGGCTGGCTCTTTGATCACCTCCCCCTGGGGGGTGCAGCTTTGCCAGGTCACAGAGGAAGACAATGAAGCCAGTCCTGTTGAGACCTGATAGGCTAGGGTCAGAAGGAAGGGGAGGAGGACCTTCCCTATCAGTGGACTAGGGGAGGGGCATAGGAGGAGAAGAGGGAGGGACAGAGGGCGGGGATTGGGAGGGGGCGGGGAAAGGGCTACAGCTGGGATACAAAGTGAATAAATTGTAATAAACAAAAAAATGTTTAAAAAAGAAACGGCCCCTGTCTTCATGATCAGGTAATGCATGACTGTATACTCGTGTAAATCTCTTTAACATCCACACACTTGGCATATTTTATCCCATGCTATAACTCAATCTCAGTTTCATTCTAAGCACGCTGCCATCTTCTCCTGACATGAACTCCTCACAGCAATTGCTTCCTAGACGCTTTCTACCTGTGCCCTGCCCTCTACCACCCATCATCTTCACCCTAAGCAGGCAGGACAACCCTGTAAAAACAAAGGTCAAATCACTCCTTAGCTCAAAACTCTCCATGGTTTTTTTTATTTGCACTAAAAGTCAACATTCTTTTGCAATGACCTGCAAGCCTTCCTGACATTCTATCCTTGTTCTACTGTTTATTAAAGCAAGCAGAGGCCCAGACAAAATGGCTCAGCAGGTAAGGGCACTTGGCACACAGGCCTAGCAACAGAGTCACAGCCACAGAATCCACATAAAGAAAAGAATCTCCTCCCAAAAGCTGTCTTCTTACCTCCACAGGCATACCATACCATGTGTCCCACAAACATCATATGCAGAGACACACACAAACAAACATACACACACACAACAAAATAAACTTAAACCTTTTAATTACAGGTGAAAAAAATTTTAGGCTACATTAATTATACTAAAAAGTCCATGACTACACAAATAGACCGACTTTCAATTATTTTATCTGTACTCTCCCCCAAGAAAAAAATTAACAATTACCTGTACCAATCGTTTCATATAATTCATAATATTTGAGAAGTTCATCATAATCTTTCATAGTCCACCGAGAAGTTTATTCAAAATGACGAGAACCTGTAAAACAGAAGAAATAGTATATGACCAATAAAAAGGAATATCACCAGATCACCTCCTCCCTTGTATATAGAGATAAAAATAAACCTTAGGCAAATAAATGACAGTGGAAGTACTAACTAGCCATATTTAAAAACAAACAAAGCTGAGCAGTGGTGGTACACACCTTTGATCCCAGCACTCAGAAGGCAGGGTTGGTGGATCTCTGAGTATAAGGCCAGCTTGGTCTGCAGTTCCAGGACAGCCAGGGCTACACAGAGAAACTCTGTCTCGAAAAAAACAAAAACAACTACACTGCATTACTGCCTCACATCATACTTAAAATCAAATCCAGATAAAGACTGAAGCATACCCAGGTGACGGCACTTGCCTGTAACGCCAGTATTTAAGAACTTGAAGCAGGAGCTCAAGGTGGTACTAGACTACACAGCAAGTTCTAGACTAGCCTGAGCTACAGAAGACTGTGCCTCGGACAGCACATCACTTACCCATGAAAGACAAACTTGCTCACTGTGTGAAGGCACTTACCACCAAGCCTGAAAACCTGAGTTTGATCCCTGGACCCCCAACACAGAGAGACCAACCCCCATAGTTGTTGTCCTGCCTCCACACATGAACTGTGGCACACACACATACACACATACACTGCAAGTTCGAGGCCAGCCTGGTCTACATAGTGAGTTTCATATCAACCAGAAAAAAAACTAAAGTGTGTGTTCAGAATTCCCGTATAATCAAAGACACCATCAAAAAAGAAAATAACCAAATGGGCTGATACCTGCCTCTAATCCAGCACTGGGAACACCAGAAAGAAGGTTTTGAAGTTCCAGACTAGCCTGGGTTACACATAAGACCCTGTAGTAAAACAGTGGTGAGGTGGGATATTGGGGTGAAGGACTGGACAGCGACTTGGGAGCTAGTGAAGTTTCTAGCACTCAGGTTGGGCTGCTTTTAAACACCTGTACCTCCAGGTCCAGGCCACCCATCCACTACCCTCTTCTGGCCTCTACAGGCACCAGCATGCTACACACTCATGCAGACAAACACACACATAAATTTGTTTTAATTGTTAAAGTTTATAATTATTGTGTATACTCGATGTGTATTTGGCTGTGCACATGCCGTAGTGTGTATGTGGAGGTGAGAAGACAGAGAACCAGCCGCTGGGCTTGAACTCAGGTCCTGCTGGCACAGCCTACTGCAACCTCTTACCCATACAGATTTTAAGCAAATTTTTTAAGGGAATATGTTTAACAGACTCTCTAATTCAGAAATCTCTTAACGGCCATCTGCCAGTAGGAAAAATATGGGAACGAAGCAGAACCCCATCCCCAAAAAACTTAGAATCAGAGAACTAAGAAATTTCAAGGCACAGCGGGTGCCATGGCGCACACCCGTAATCCCAGTGCACTGGGAAGCAGAGGCAGGGAGATTGCTGTGAGTTTGAGGCCAATCTGGTCTACAAAGCGAGTCCATGACAGCCAGGGCTACAGAGAAACCCTGTCTCAGAAAAATGCATTTAATATCTGTTTCCAAGAAATAACAGCAGGTTAGAGTCAAGGCAAGGCCTAGTAACTCCTACAATCCTGCTCGAAGAGAAGAAATGGGGCGGGGGGGGGGACAAGAAAGGAAATGGGGGAATTTGGGGCTATAAAGTAGGCTGGCAAGCCCACCATGGAGACTAAGGCCTGCAACCCCAGCAGTCATAATTTTCTCTATAGCCAAGGCAGCTTTGAACTTTCAAGCTTCCTGTCTAATCCCAACACACATACACACAGGATTGCACAATGTACCACCTGGCTCATAATTAACCTCTTCACAGATTTCTCCCTGAGGAGTTTTAAACTTCCAGCTCCTTGGGAAAGACTAACTTGCACAAATACTAAAACCTTTTTTTCTGTCTTTCCTCTTCTGTCAAATCACACCATGTCTTTGAGTAACACCAGTGTGAGGCTGGATTATATCTATTAAATCCAGGGAACATCATTTTTGCTACTATTAAGAAAACTATCCTGGGTATGGTGGTGCACGGCTTTAGTCCCAGCACTTGGGAGTCAGAGGCAGGTGGATCTCTGAGTTTGAGGCTGGCCCAGTGTACAAAGTGAGTTCCAGGACAGCTATGGCTACAGAGAGAAACCCTGTATTGAAAAAAAGGAGGGGGCCTGGAGAGATGGCTCATTGGAGAGCACTATCTTCTCTTCCAAAGGTCTCGGGATTGATTCCCAGCATCCACATGGCAGCTCACAACTGTCTGCACCAATTCCAAGGGATCTGACACCTTCAAACTAATGCACATAAAATAAAATTAAATAAATTATTTTTAAAAAGGAAGGAAGGAGAAAGAAAGAAAACCAGGGGCTGGAGAGATGGCTCAGAGGTTAAGAGCACTGCTTGTTCTTCCAAAGGTCCTGAGTTCAATTCCCAGCAACCACACTGTAGCTCATAACCATCTAGTGAGATCTGGTGCCCTGTTCTGGTACGGAGGCACACATGTAAGCAAAATGCTGTCTAGACAGATAGATAGATAGATAGATAAAAGACTTCACTAAAAAAAGAAAGGAAAGAAAACCAATGATTATATCACATTGTGTGAATAATGCTGGGTCCAAATAATCTTACACGTCCTGTTTATCTTCTAGAAATTGGAATACAGAAAGCAGAAATATGTGTGACTGGAAAGCCTGACTATGTCAGTGTGAAAGAACACTAGACCCTCGTCCACCATCTCACTGAGAACCCTCTAGTACTGGTAAAATGCAAGAATGGGGAATCTGTAATAGAGAAACTTTTCTGAGGAAACAAGAAATCAGCTAGACTCTGGGAGATCTGCAATTAAACTTTCAGATACTGTATGCATGCCCTCATACATAACAGCACTCAAGAGGCAGAGGCAGGCGCATATGAGTTCAAGGCCAGCTTGGACTATACAGTGAGTCTTCCCAGAAGGGCAAATGGAGGGTGTTTTGCTACTAGTATGGTGTTATCTGAACCATGCTATCACTTTCTGCAAAATAGATAAACTTGCCTCACGTACTCAGTGAAGACAATGATCTGGTCATTTCAAAAGAGAGTGCAAAATGGTAATAATTTAGCCTTAGAATACAGTTGAGTAGCACCCTTCCTGCTCCCCTCCAGAGGTTTCTGAGAACAGCAATAGAGGTATTCGTTCCAAAAAGCATTTAAGGACTAATCCATCCAATAGACAAGGCAGCAAGGACAGATCCCACGTCTCCATGAAGGTGTAACAAGGGCTTTTCCGATTCTCTCACACCTCATAAGAAACCAAAACATCAACAAAAATTGGGAATCAGCTCTAAGCAACATTTCAGGCCCCTCTGCAACCCCTTTTTCTCCTACTCCACTAACCACAGAAATCTACCGATAACACTCCCTCACAAACCTCACCCTGCTGTGCGCCTCCTGCCTTTGGCCGCCTTCTCTAAGAAATTGCCGTTTCTCTTCACAATCTTCTTGGCAGGAGAAGGTTGCCCCGTTTAGTGCTACAGCCTCCGAGCAGCCTTACAATATGGGCTTCTCTGGCCACTTGCTTCGAGGAGGTGCCAGGTGAGGAAGGACTCTAAAAAGGGGGTGATCACACGTTTCCCTTCTAACTGAAGTACCCTAGGAAACTGTGTTGAACGAAGGAAAGTATCTCAAGGTCCTTCTCTAAACCGTTTTAGAGAAAAGTCCGGAGCACTGAAACAGAAATGAAAAATCTTTTCTACGGCAGCCTCCAGGGCGTCAAGAGCTCTGCCAAACTTCAATAACCCCTAGAACCGGGAATGGGGAGTGGGGAGCGCTCACGCGGGTATCCCCACCTCTCGGATCCTGGACTACACAAGACTACGTCTCAGAACGGGGGAGAAAGAGAGAAGGGAAAAAAAAAAAAAAAAAAAAAGCAACCACCATCTGTGAAGGCCAGGGTTGAAAGGTCTGCAAGTTCTCCCAGAGCGGCGCTGGTCGGGGGAAGCCCGGGGAAGCTCCGTCTTCCAGCCCGCCCCACAGAGCCCAGAGAGAACTGACCTGAGGGGCGACAGGCCCAGCAGGACCGAACCGGACAGAAGATCGAAGCAGCCGGCCGCAGGGACCAGTAAAACCGGGATGGGAGACGGGAATCCTTGCAGGATTCAACTTGGAGCAGCTTCCGCCCGCCAAGGGAATCAAACTTCGCGGACCGGAAGAGGCGGGGCCCACCGGAGCCCCCGGCCCAGTCCCAGGTTGGTGGGGCGAGGCCTGGAGAGAACTGGGCGGGGCGATGATGGGGCGGGGCGAGCTAGGCTCAAACTTGGGATAAATGGATGGATTCTAGACACGCTGGAGGGTGTCAGACGCTCAGAGGCGCGCCTTTGAGATTCTGACTGCAGACTTAAGGCTTTGCCTCTTTTTTTTTTTAAAGAATATTTTTATGGGGTTGGAGAGATGGCTCAGAGGTTAAGAGCACTGGCTGCTCTTGCACAGGTCCTGAGTTCAATTCCTAGCAACCACATGGTGGCTCACAACCATACATAGTGAGATCTGGCGCCCTTTTCTGGCAAGCAGGCAGAACACTATATATATAATAAATAAATCTTTTAAAAAAAAGAATATTTTTATTAGCTGGGCGCGGTGGCACATGCCTGTAATCCCCGCACTCGGGGAGGCAAAGAGAGGCTGATCTCTGTGAGTTCGAGGCCAGTCTGGTGTACAAAGTGAGTCCACCACAGCCAAGGCTACACAGAGAAACCCTGTCTCAAAAATAAAAAACCAAAAAAAAAAAAAAAAATACTTTTTTTTAAAAAATGTTTTTATTTATTTTTGGACGACTTCATACATGTATTCAGTGTATGTGGACCATATCTACCTAAATCTCCCTTCTTGCTCACCACACCACCCAGAACCCCCCCTCATCTTCATGTCCTCTTTTTTTTTTTTTTTTTAATTTGCCTCTTCTAACTGCAGCGTGTATATCTCCAAGAGGCACAGAAATTTTTA